CTGTAAAAAGATCTCTCAAAAAAAAAAAAAAAAAAAAAAAAGGAAAGTGAATACAAATAAAATCGACAGGTGTGAAAAACTTCCTTTAGTAAGTTGTTTATATTAGAATTCTCTCCTGCTGTTTTATAACAAAACAAATTCTAAGAAAATCACTTCAAAAAATGCACTTCTAAAAGAATTAAACGAGGAAATCCAACAGGAAAGCTACAATGCCCTCATAATAAACAAAATGACAGCAGAATGTTTATTTTTATACTTAAACAAAACAATGCTTAAAAAAGAGGACTCTTTCATTATCGGCTGAAATTCCTTTGGAATGTGATATTTTCTTTCTGTCCACCCTGCCTATGCCCCTCATGCCAAAGCTGCCCTTGTGCTAGTCCTCGGGGTGGTCAGACTGGCTTGCTGGGCCTGATGGTGACTAGTGGAAATACTGAACCATGAAGTGACTAAGGCTGTACTTACTATCACCAATATGTGGCTCAGGTTAAAAGTCCACAAAAGCCAATAGTTACTCAATACTTGCTATTCTTTTTTCTTTTGAGAGGTTTTTGCTACAAGGCACATGCGCTCGCTAGAGAGACAGAGAGACAGAAAGTGAAAGATCACCCGCCGGGGGGATAGCCAGGCCATAATCCCTTCTCCTCCATTCTCCTCTTGGAATTTTGGGCATGTATGCACATGTGCCAACTGGGTTCAGGACTCAAACTGCGGTTGACCATGTGGGGGTCTAGCACCTTAACCACTACGCCACCTGCTGGCCCCTAAACACTTGTTTTTGTAACATTGCTGTGTGACAGAATCCAGTACTCCCCGCCCCTCCCAGATACTTGTTGCCCTAGGCAGGCTGGTTTTCACAGACTGAAGCTACCAGGCCATCCCCGCCATCCATGAACATGGGAGCCCACCAGGAGGTGCCCAGCAGGTGATGAGGTGCAGCTCTGTGCCTGTCACTAAGGAGACGGCACTGAACTGGCACACTTCTTTTTTAAGCTAGATTACGTAAGGTGAGGTACCCCTGTTTAGATCTAACTTTGATCGTGTAGAATATATAAGTACCTTTTTTTTTTTTTTTTTTGCTTTGGTTGTAGATTTAAACAGATGGTTTTAAAAAGCTCCTAAAACTTAACAGTGTTGACATTTACACAATGGAGCTGTCCTTTACATGGGTTTTTCTTACCTCAACATCCTTTTTCAGTTTTTCCAGGAATACTTTCTTGTTGTTATCATCAATATAGATCTTTTGGCCCTCATTAATGAAATCATTATCCTTCAACGTTGGCAGTTCTTTGGCCTAAAACACATGGGGGGGGGGAGAATGAGTTAAGAGCTTGAATTGAATCTAAAAATCACGTATATATTCTAACCCTGGATATTAAATTCATCCTGTTGACCACAGGGCTACTGTCTTACCCAGGGCAATGAAATGTGAGGTGGCCTGGCTACCACAAGGGGGCACCAATGAGCCATGGCCACTGGACGCATTCCCATTAGGAATGGAGGGCCAGGCGCACTCCATATTGCATGGGTGTCGCTTTTATGTACTATAGGAATGAATGCGAGCGCTTCCTTAGATCCACTTTCTTACAGGGAGCCTTCTAAGTACGGAATTTGCATTATTGGAACATTCTGTCAGGAAGTTTCAATTTTCTTCCTTGTACAACTTATCTTCCCCCCTCCTCCTGGGTTCACATTACAAATAACAGGTTATCTTGTCACACAAAGGCCCTATCCACAATCATGTCCACTTTCTGAGTCAGGGAGAATGTGAGCCAGAGGTTAGCCATTGGCCCTTCCAAACCATCCTGCTCGTCGATCCACCAAGAAGGAAAATTCTGTTCTCATGGAGAAAACACCAAAGAAAAAATGGCTTGCCCTTAACATAGAACACATTAGGGTGAGAAGTTCTGCCCTTTATGAATAAAGAAGAGGGGCCTATAGTTACACTGACCAGTGTAAAGTAACGTGTCTGTCAAAACCAGGGCACAAGCGGAAAATACTCCAGCCTGTGCTGCGCCAGACAGGGCAATGCAAGTGTGTAGCTCAACGGTGTGGACCGACCGAGTGAGCGCTGTGCCCCGGCCTTTGGGAAAGTTCAAACCCAACCACTCCATCCTCTCCCTTTCGGCCACCCATAACTTATTTCTCCCAGTGTAACGTACTGCCTTTCTCGTATATTAACGAACCCTGAGCCTTCTCTTTTCCACACACGTGAAGCCAATGAAAAATAGTAATCCAGGGAAACACCCGTTCTTCTTCCTGGGCCCCCAGCGGCCCTTCCCCTCGAGAGCAATAAGAGAAACCCCCCAGGCACGTCTACAGAGCCACGGTCCTGCTGCTCGAATCGCTCATTCCCTCTCTCATTTTATGACGTATACACACATATGTACATCCATGCACATTTACCTGCATGCACACATACCATGCGTTTCTAAAACTTACACGTTTTTAAATGAGTAGCTTTGGCTACTAATTTTGTTTAACTTTGAGAAGATTTAAACTGTTTTTGCAGCTTTGAATTAGAAATAACCACTGCCAAAATAATTACCCTTACAAAGAGGATACGGCAAAGCTCAGAAATCCAGAGATTCACGTTACCAGGCAGTTCCTGAGTTACTACTCAGTACCGGCATGCAAATATGGATGCACCAAAATTTCTATTCTTTTAAATTTTATTATTATTATTATTTTGGAGAGGTTTTTGCTAGAGGGCGCATGTGTTTGCCAGAAAGACAGAGAGACAGAAGGCAAGAAATCACCCCCTGGGGGGGATGGCCATGCTGCAATCCCTTCTCCTCCATTCTCCTCTCAGAATCTTGGGCACGCACGCACATGCGCCTGGCATGAGTTTTAAGCCACGGGGTCAGGGATTCGAACTGTGGTCGACAACATGGGAGTCCAGCAACGCAGCCATTACATCATCTGCTGGTCCCCTATTCTTTTTTTTTTAAATAAATATTTTATTAATTATCATTATTTTTTAATTTGACCAGAGAGAAACAGAGGGACAGTGAGAAAGCAAGCCGCCAAGTCTAGGACCTGAACCACATTGACCATGTGGGAGTCCAGTGCCTTAACCACCACGGCTCCATCAAAATTTCTATTCTAAAGGAGCTGGCAATCTCTGTGATAAAGACAGGATGACAAGGAGGTAGGAAACAGCGGGTGAGTATGTAAATACACAGTGAGCAGGGGCTGAGCGGCTTCCCAACATAAATGGCAACTGGCAGGCCCTGAGGAAACAGAGCTGAAATGTTATTCTTCACAAACACCCAGATGGGCCAATAGACTCAATCTGCCATCAACAATTTCTAAAGGATGCAATAACAATGTATAATAAATGGGGCCAGCAGATGGCATGGTGGTTAAGGTGCTGGATTCATGCATAGCCGATTGTGGTTTGAGTCCTGAACCGGCGGCTTGAAAATCACAACAAACAAACAAACAAACAAGTGTTTTAAACAAGTGTACAGTAAACTAAAACAAAGCCCCGAATGTCTGCATTCAGGAGACACCACGTTACTGCTGGTTGTGAGCCCGTTACACGAGGCTGCAAGGGTTTGCCTTCGATTTCACAGTGGCTGAAACACAAGTGGAGGGACCAGCAGTTAGCGTAATGGCTATGTCGCTGAACTCCCATATAGTCGACCATGGTTTGAGTCCCGGACCCGGTGGCTTAAACTCATGCCGGGCGTGTGTGTGTGTGTCCAAGATCCCAAGAGAAGAATGGAGGAGAAGGGACTGCAGCATAACCATTCCCCCTGGGGGGGGGTGATTTCTCGCTTTCTGTCTCTCTGTCTCTCTCTCTCTGGTGAGCGCACATGCCCTACAGCAACCCCCCCCCAGAAAACAAACAAACAAACAAAAACAAAAAACAAACAAACAAAATAAACAAAAAACTCCCAAAAACACAAGTGGATAAAACAAAGCCCACTGAGAGGGTGGGGGGAGGATCAGCATGGCTCCAGATACAAACACACCAACAAAACCAAAGAGGAGATGGAGAAGGGTTGAATTCTGCAAGTGGACCCGGGGAGTGCTTCTGTATACTGCTGTTTTGGGGATGTGGGGACGTGGGTGTGGGGTAGCTGCCTCAATTCTGTGACTCATTCTATATGTGCAAGAAGTAAGGGCAAGGAGATGCTTGTTTTTATACACGTTTGAGAAACCCGAAGGCAGGGATGGCAGACCTTGGGCAAGGCGGTAAATGCAGGTATGTGTGTGTGATACAAGTCACACTGGTGGACACGAACGCCACTTCAGGTTCACACCTCCCTACCCCGAATTACCGCAGGTGACAGGGAACATATAATCCTACCTCATAAAACTCTGGACACGCTGTACTATATTACTAAGCTTACTTGTGAATTTCATAGGCACTAGGGACGTATTTAGATTGGATGGAGTTCAAAAAAGGGCAATGAGATTGGTTAAAAGACTTAAAGGCTTACTGAAAGGATCAAGAGGCAAATGCAGGTCCTTTGCAGGGCAGCTGTGAGGAGGGAACCCACCCCTGCCAACACCGTCCTCCCAAATGTTTGCTGTGAGGGTGCTGAGGCGCACCAGGGTTTTGGAACCGTGAATCCAGAGGGTCCGATTCTGCTCCAGCTCTTAGTCGCCAGCCAGTCTCTGGCCTGTTTCCCTTTGCTCAGAATGCGGGCAAGCGCTGCCACCCCACCTGGGGCAGCCTTCAGTATGGTGCCAAGCACTTCACGTGTGTTTATTCTCCAGTACCATCTCGTATACTTTCCGCAATAATCTTTACTATTCTCATTCGTGTTTTACAGACAAGGAAACTAAGACTGTGCAATTGAACTGAGGTCCCACAGCCTGGGGAGTGATGGGCAGAGATGGGAGGCCAGCAGCCAGACTCCGGGCAGGGGTCGAGCTGCGCTGAGAGTTCAGTCAGAAACCACGTGACGCATTTACAGTGAGGGTACGGTAGCTGAGAGTTCAGTCAGAAACCACGTGACGCAATTACAGTGAGGGGTGCCCGTTCTCACCACCACCATCATCACTGCTGTGAGCGTACAGCAAGTGGTTCAGACTGAAACTGGTATTACGTATTGGGAGGCTAACATACAAAATATCTTTTCCTGAAAAAGCAAAAACGGGCGCTGGCAGGTGGTGTGGTGGTTAAGGATGCTGCAATTCTACACGGCCAACTGTGGTTCGAGTCTCAGACCTAGTAGTTTATTTTCTTGCTTTCCCTCTCTTTCTCTTTCTCACTCTGTCCCTCTCTAGTCAAATGAAAATAAATGAAGTAAAATAATTCTTAAAAAAAGTCTTAATAAAGCAAAAACACATTTTCTTTTTTTACTAAGAACTAGATGACAAAAATTAAATTACTCCACTACGATTCACCCTCAAAAAACCCTATCTGCTTAGCTTTGTCAAAACACTGTGAGGACCAGCCAGTGGTTTGGTGGTTAGGGGAGCTGGTTATGGCTGACTGCACAGTTCAATCCTGGACCCAGTGGCTTGGGAAATATGGGGGTGCATGTGTGTGTACTCAAAACTCTAAAGGGGGAATAGAGAAAGTATCGCATGTGGCAATGTCCCAGAGGCTGCTTTCTCACCCTCCTTCCCTATAGCAATGAAATAAAATGGTAAAATTTATCCTTTTGATAATGAGTAGCATTTATGTTAGAAACACACGATTCTTTTAGAGAGAGATGTTTGCTACAGGGTGCATGCACTTGCAGAGACACAGAGAGACAGAAAGTGAGAACTCACCCTGGAGGGCAGATGGCCACTCTGCAATCCCTTCTCCTTCATTTTCATCTTGGGATTTTGGGCATGCATGTTCCCGTGTCCATAGTGACTTTGACGCCACCAGGTCCGGGACTTGAACTGTGGTCAACTACGTGGGAGTCCAGCAATGTAACCATTATGCCATCTGCTGGGCCCCACACCACTTTCGTTTTAAGTGAGGAAAACTCTTCATTCTATTTATTGATTATACCGTGAATTAATGAACTTAGCAAACTCTCAATGTAAAACTGCCCACAAAGGTGGTATCTGCAGAGCAGCACATTAGGACAGTGGGCAGTGGTATTTAAAAAAAAAAATTGCTTGTGTGTTTGTTGTAATTTTTCAAGCCGCTGGTCTGGGATTGAACTGTGCAATCCCTTCTCCTTCATTTTCATCTTGGGATTTTGGGCATGCATGTTCCCGTGTCCATAGTGACTTTGACGCCACCAGGTCCGGGACTTGAACTGTGGTCAACTACGTGGGAGTCCAGCAATGTAACCATTATGCCATCTGCTGGGCTCCACACCACTTTTGTTTTAA